TCTTCCATACAGAGTACGTTACCATAGTCTTCTGAGACTGAAGGATGCCTAAATAGAACTGAACTGGAACTGGAGCAGAGTGTGTTGTGAGGGAAGGAATTGCAATGGGGAAACTTCAGTTTAATCAGTGCTAATAAGTAATTCCTACTGGAAACAATGGGCTCACTTTAAGTAGGCATGCCTAATATCGCACGCAAAAGGTATGGTGATTATTGCTCTGGTTCATGAAGTCCATTAAATGCACTCAGGGCAGTAACAACCCTCTGAAGATGCCGGCCACAGAGACTGGTGAAACATTAGGAAGAACAACCTCATAACATGGCCAAAGAGCCCGAAAAACCCACAACAACCAACCCTGTTTAAAATCAACATTGTATGACCACATGTCGAAAAATCATTGTGCTTATTTTTTCTTCTCAATGCAAACAGTATATTGAAGAAGTAATCAATGTGCCTCATTGTTGCCAGTAGCTTTGACACATGCTACTGCTGCTGATCATAATCATGACCCCCACAGCAGCAGCAGCATCTGTTGGCGTCAAAATTAAGCCCCCATCATCATCACTATTATTTTCCTCATAGTTACCTTCTATTTCAACACATTGAACACACACACACACACACACACACACATACACACACTTCCATGGGGAAAAAAACATCTTTGAACACAAGTTTCCAGTTAACCTACCATATAGGTTCAATTTCATATATTATTTATGTGAAACTGGATAGTGCATTATATTTGGAGGACATTGCCACAGCCTAATGCAATTTGAAAGTCAACAGGTAAGGAGTATAGAGGTTGCTAAACTATTCACTTAATAGACGGCTATGCAACAATCACAATTGTCATTATTTTATTTTCTGCCTTTTAATTTGCTATGGTGGTGCCCAATAATCATCCACAATTCTAGAAGTGCACCAATACAGAAAGAGAGACTTTTCTTGCTTCTCCATACAGTATTGTGTTCACCCACCGCAGTATTTTCACAAACTACTTGCAGAAAATATCTCCTGAAAGGAAAATGTCCACAGATCACTGTGAATCTGTGTTAACAAATGGTGAGCACATTAATAGAACATGTTTATTCTTGTAGCTTTTTCTGGCTGCAGCATAGTTCATGGAAAAATTAATAATTTCTAGGATTTCTCCCTTTCCTTTTTTTAAAAATTAATCAGCCTTTGAAGGTTACCATTCATTCAACAGAGATTCATAAGGCTAAGGAATTATTGACACTATACACAAAGACACACACATACAAGTTTAAACCTTGTGGTATTCCTAATGTTCAAAGCACAGACACTAAAACAAAAGCTATAATAGGTTATTACAAACCATTTGAATTTACTTTCTTCAGCATTAATCAGATAACTACTCTAAATGCACAAACACTTGACACCCCTTCACAGATTGCTGCCTTGTAATGGCGAAGGGGGTGAGTAATTCAGAGAAGCTATGGGCTATGCCATGCAGGGACACAAAGATGGACAGGTCATAGTGGAGAGTTCTGACTAAACACGATCCACCTGGAGCAGGAACTGACAAGCCACTCCAGTATCTTTGCCAAGAAAACTCCATGGACAGAAACAAAAGGCTAAAAGATATGACGCTGGAAGATTGGCCCCTCAGGTCGGAAGGCATCCAACATGCTACTGAGGAGGAGCAGAGGACAAGTACAAGTAGCTCCAGAGCTAATGAAGCAGTTGGGCCAAACTGAAAGGACGCTCAGCTGCGGACGTGCCTGGAAGTGAAAGGAAAGTCAGATGCTGCAAAGAAAAATACTGCATAGGAACCTGGAATGTAAGGTCTATGAACCTTGGTAAGCTAGATGTGGTCAAGCAGGAGATGGCAAGAATAAACATTGAAATCCTGGGCGTCAGTGAACTAAAGTGGATGAGAATGGGCGTATTCGGTTCAGACGATTGTCATATCAACTATTGTGGGCATGAACCCCGTAGAAAAAATGGAGTAGCCCTCAAAGTCAACAAAAGAGTGGGAAAAGCTGTACTGGGATATAATCTCAAAAATGATAGAATGATTTCAATACAAGTCCAAGGCAGACCTTTCAACATCACAGTCATCCAAGTTTATGCACCAGCCACCGATGCTGAAGAGGCTGAAACTGACCAATTCTATGAAGACTTACAACATCTTCTAGAACTGACACCAAAGAAAGATGTTCTTTTCATTATAGGGAATTGGGATGCTTAAGTAAGAAGTCTAGAGTTAAAAGAAACAACAGGAAGTTTGGCCTTGGAGTTCAAAACAAAGCAGGGCAAAGGCTAATAGAGATTGTCAAGAGAACAAGCTGGTGATCACAAACACTCTTTTCCAACAACACAAGAGGTGACTCTACACATGGAAATCACCAGATGGACAATACCGAAATCAGATTGATTATATTTTCTGCAGCCAAAGATGGAAAAGCTCTATACAGTCAGCAAAAACAAGACCTGTTG